ATGCCTACGGATGTTAGCTTAAAATGTTCTTGTTGGCATATAGATAGATAGATGGATAAACAAGCAGATCGATATGACCTGGGTATTTTAATTTTACTATTCATCGGTAATTATTGTATTAGAGGTGGTCACTAGTTTCTTAATTTTTAGAAGTTTATTAATTTAAAATATGGAAATGAAATTGATATGTTATGAAGTTAACAATGAAGCCGCTTGAATAATTGCATTTACTTTTATGCTTGATACCTTTGTGTGTGGGAGGCTGCAGTGCTTCATAGTAAAAGGCAGACTGAAATTCAATTATGTAAAAAGCATAACCAATATGAAGATACCTACTACCTTATTTATTTATTCTATATTGAATATCTCATATGTTTTATTTTCATGATTTTATAGCAAATGTTTTACCAAGAAAGCACATATACTCTATATGGCAGAGTAAAATTACCATAGGAATTTTTACATTTAAACATCAGGAAACATGGACTTTAATTTACTTCTTCCCAAGAGATATGATAGATGATGGAAAACACCCATTTACTGAAGCAGAAACCTTGCATAAACAATAATGAAAATACCATCTTGTATTTTAATATGTTTCCCTTATTTTTGGAATTTAAAAAATACAGCATGCTTTAAAAACTTTACATTTACAACAGTTAAATTATGGGTGTATAAACAGTTGGGTGATCTCTTATGACATATCTAAAAACTTGAATAAGGAACAATGATAGTACAAAATATTTCAAACCTCTTCTTATTCAGGTGGTGTGTGTGTGTGCATGTCTCACACACCTATACCATGAATAATTTGATTTGCCTAATTACAGAGGATAATACTGTAATAATTTCATTCTAGAATGTACACTTTGTATATTTTAACATCTCTGATAATAGAATATGTCTTACAGTTGTTCTTGACCTGAGTTCAAGTTGCTTTCTTCTGGAAAGAGTTTGTTTTTACTTTTGCCAGACACATGTGACTCTCCTAACCTGATACCTCTTCAAGTTAGTCTTGTCTGAGGTATTTGGTCCACACTGTTGGTGTGAATTCAGAAAGTAAATATTTGTGAGTATCACCCTGTGATTCAAGAAGTGGTTTTCCCCCTTTTCTACCACCCATGAGTACAGGTGAAACAGGCAAATATCCTTGCTGTCTTTTTCATGGGAGTTTATTTCTTCTTTGCACTAATACTGAAACACTGTAAGCTGGCTTGATGCTGGCATCACTAGTACATTATCCATCTTGGGCAGTTTTTCCTTTCTCAGCAGTCCTTAAAAAATGGTGCATCTTATATTCAGTGACGTCTTAGACTTGATACAATTTGGTAATTTATTAAAGTTAGGTTTTTTTAGGGCTGACATCATGCTCATCTATCAAACTTTGAGGCTTCTCTTGGGGCTAAATGCTCAGATTCAGTTGGAATTTCTATGGGTATAAAATAAGCTAAAACACCAACCAGATTAGCATTGCTACACAATACTAAATTTACAGCTCTGCAGACCACAAAGATGACACTGCCAAAGATATTTTATGAAATTTTGGAACATTGCTGATGCCAACCAAGACATAAATTGAGAGGAGCCAGTTGCAGAGATAATTAAGAAGATTGAATTCTGTGGATGTTTTACTGTGGGATGTTAGAAGGGAAATGCATGTATGTAGAGGAGCCAAGAGAACTATCACAAAGCAAAATTCAATGATGGTACTGAACTAAAGTTAGGACATAAAATATTTCAAAGATTCAAAACTCTAAGATGATGTTAATCTTTTTAAATGTTGTTATTTATGGTTTGTTCCTTTCTGGGCACGGATATCATAATACAACTTATTTTGTTTAGTAAAGAAGGGGGGATGGTAAATTGACTCAGCCACTCATGCTCTTGGAGGCAAAGTCAGACAAGCTCCAATTTTGTGCATAAGTTATTTTAGGGAAGGGAAAATAATGGAAACAACCTGAAGTTTCTCTTTAGCATTCTGTATGAGGTGTGAGCGAGAAGGCAAGAAGATCTGCCAGCACATACACATTTAGGGTTTTATACTAAAATTTCCCTAGGTGAATAGCTAGCCACCAGTGATGGAAGAGAGTGTGCCAGATTAAGGGGAGCTGGAGTTTTCGATGTGACACCTAGGCCCGCTCACCATTAGTGCTGCCTTTACACAAGAGGGAGCAAAGAGCTGAGTGAGTGTTAAAGGTTTCATCGAGAGTGAAATTTCTTCCACCTTAATGCCGAGTTATTTTATATAGTCTCTCTATTAAAACCTCAGGATATGTAAAATATAGAGTGTTACAGAATATGTTTACCATTACAGCTGGAACTGATTGTTCTGAAGTGTATAATTTGGCTTCAAGTTGCTTAGCAGCTTTCTGGGAAAACATCTCATATCTTTGTATGTTTCCACATGAGCACATATATTTTATTCAATGTGAGATGTGACACTAGCAAGACAACATACATGATTTAACAGGGCGTGGCTCTGGGTTTTTGCCCATTTTACTTTCAAAAATAGACATCGCCTATTCTAAGACAATTCACTGGCTCTTAATGGTAAGACTCAGCGTGGCCCTATGGGAATGCCTGACTTAGTTTCCAAACATTTGAAATTTACCCTAATCTATGGTATACGGTTTTTATGTTTGGTTAATTAGTAATACAAGCAGACAAGGAATAAAGAGGCCTTCAAAAAGGGAATGTTTTATTTCTGCTGAACTTCTTGGACTATTTTACCATTTCCTCCCATATATCACATGCATCTAGGTAGCACTGTTTACACACACACACACACACACACACACACACACACAAACACACCCAGTAACACTGAACCACAGCAATTCCCTTTCTTTCCTATAGTATTCTGATTGAAGTATCAAGAGAAAAAATGATTCATGTTCACTTTATTTTCTATAGCTAAGCAATTCTATATTCTCAATTTTTAGAAGCTTTCATCACTCTAACTTCATCAAAATAGAACTTTAAAATCTGAAGCACTTTCCAAAGGCCATTCATCCAACAGTCAACATTTATTTATACACAGTCTCACTTTAAAAAAAAATATGCCTTTGGTCAGTTTTTCTTTGATTTATATGTATGCCCATCATTCCAGCATATGTATCATTGTGAAAAAATACCAAATGGGGTCTATGAAGGAACTGGATTATTCAACAAATGGATGTATCTATCAGTAATTCTCCAGCAATCTTTAAAACATAGCAGAGTATCCTACGTGTAGTAGTGTATAATCATTTTTTATTAGTTAATTGATCGGTCAATAATGTTTTGTAAGAAAGATTTATTTTTAAATATGGTGGTATTAATAGCAGTGTATGACTTAAGTCATTTTAACAATAAATAAGAAGCAAATCTCTACTGAAAACCAAAAACAATAAGGTAAGGAGCTGTGCTATAACTTCAAATATTTAGATTATTCATTCAATAAAAGTTTATTAAGTATCTATAATATTCAAGATATTGCATCTGTTGTAACACTAGGAATATAAGAGTGAGCAAAATAAAGTCTATATTGATACGGAGATTGAAGTCTGATCAGAAATGAGCTCTAGTTACATTGCTCTGTTTCTTTTACTTGCAGTTATTATCATTAGCTTCTCCATATCTAAGCAAAAGATTCTTTAATATGACAAATTAAATTTCATAATACTGCATTGCTTAAAGGGTGCTGATCATAATTCAATATTTTTACATGACATAGATTTAAAGCAAGACTAGTTAATGTTTTGTTGTCCAACTGAAATACACCATTTGAAAAATTTAAGAATATGTCAATAATGTACCCTATCTGTACAAAGACAAAAAAAATCACAACATTTGCTCCAGTTTAGTGGTATACTTTTTCTTTATAATGAGAACAGTAACAGACAGTAAAGTCCTTGGCAAGAAATTGTGCAAGCAAAATGGACCCCAAATATAGGCTCAATTTGTGGCTACCTATCTCCTGGTATTGGCACCACCCAGACAACCCTGTGAGTATTCATGAATCAGATACCAGCACGTATAGGATACACAACAGGGGGATCCAACCTTCAGAAGGTAGCTAGGTTTTGGAACGCATGTTGGGGTGTTATTTATGCTGTGTGTTTTCTTTCTTAACATTCATGAAATGTGAATATTATATACACAGAAGTAGTGAATCAAATCCAAGTTCACTGATAAAACTATCAGACCTACCTTTAATATCAACGTAAAAGACACTAAAAAAGTTAATAGGGTAATTATGTTCAATTACATGCAAAATATTTACATTTTATATTTCAGCTATTTTTAACTATGAATTGTTCGTTAGCAGTGATGTCATTGATAAGTTTTCCCAGCAGAGGGAAGCACAGCCTCATTATTGTTTTTATAAAGGGTTGAAATGGGGGGGGCAGTGAGATATACTACAATTTTACCACATTTTAAAGGAAGTTTGGTTGATATTCCAGCATTAAATGCTGGACATTAATTAGGACTTGACATCTTTTAGGAAGCATAAAATGAAACAATCCAAATCCCCAGTTCAAGGGAATATCCTACTAGTAAATCAATGTGAAGATACTGGAATTATCTTCTACTTGACTAGCATACCCAATAACAATACAATAGGTCTGCATCATCAGCATAATAATTTGTATGGCCTATTTTAAGGCTACATTTTCTTCTTTAATATATTTAAATGAATATTTCTGTTACCTATTGCTCTCAAGTTGCTACTATATACGAAAGCATGTACTTAAACCTGGTTTCTTTTTGGTAATATGAGAAAATTGAAATTTAAGCCTTGTAACAATCTAAAACTTGAATTTATGGTAACTGCAATAATAAAATAAAATTCATCGCTCAGTATTCTTTAGAATCTTTTTTCTTCTAGATTTCCTTTATCTTCAGTGCATCTCCTCAAGTATTCCGGCACTGCTGAGTGCCCTGCATGTACATGTGTGGGTACACACTACTGCTTATGATTTACCCTGGTAAAGCAGGTTGAAAGTGTTGTAACTTACCATGGTGTTGTAAGTCTGAACAGTGAGTCAGCGGGTCTCCATTTCTTATATCTTGTCGTCTTGTGCGTCTAAAACAATTACATTTAAAAGGTGTTATTGCATCCTTATTCCATCTTGGAAGTTTGTCACAAGAATTAAGAAGAATCAAAAACCAAAGACACCAGGAGCTTACAGGAAGAGATGCATCTATATCTGACTAAGGAAATTTTTTAAAGCAGCTCATTACACCTGTAGGAGCAGTCTCCAGGTGATCAAAATGGGAAACAGTATACAAATGTACTAACAATGCAGAAAAGTCTTTCAAAGTTATAACAGAATCATGGTTTATGTGCAACTGGATGCCAATCAGTAAGAATCTAACATCTAGAAACTCTAAAATTCTTAACATCTTAAATTCTGAGGAAAATGCACAAAATATAGAATAGCAACCCATTTCTTCAATAACCCGAATTAAACTTTTTTTCTGATCACTAACGAAAGAGTGAGCTTGAAAATTAAAATTCACATGACTGTTTTCTTTCTCTTAATACTTATATATAATTCCTTAAATAGACTTTTGTTAAATTTAAAAGTATTAATTCTATGAAATCTATTTTTTTAAGATTTTATTTATTTATTTGTCAGAGAGAGAGCAAGCATAACCGGTGGGGAGAGGCTGAGGGAGAAGGAGAAGCAGACTCCCTGCTGAGCACGGAGCCCCCTGCGGGGCTCGATTCCAGGACCCTGGGACCATGACCTGAGCTGAAGGCAGACGCTTAACGACTGAGCCACCCAGGCGTCCCTATGAAATCTACTTTTGAGTTACTTTTAAATTTTTGTTTTTGGTTGCTATATCAGCCTTTTTAAATAAAACATTTCTTTCATAATCCTATGGCTATGACTGCAGACTGATTTACCTGTGAAATGAGTAAAAGGAGAAGCACGGTAACAAATATTGTGGAGCAAGTGTGCCTCTTGTCAGAGGAAGGTGAGAGAGAAGGACTCACCTCTAAGAGAAAAGCCAAATTTGCTATAAAAATCTAAATAAATTTCTCCTACATACTGCTGCTCAGAACATGTTAGTTGCAACACATTCTGGGTGTCTTCTTTCCACACTCTGTTAGTGGTTGACCGGGAAGAAGGAGGTTGTCTCTAGCCATTTCGAGTGTGAGCAGGACGTGGAGTTTGAGAAAGAGGCTAAAAATGGAGATTGGCTACATATAACAGAATCAAAAAGATTGGGGACACGTGCCCAACTGCTTTCTGTGTCAATGTTAACAAATATTGTTTTGCTGCAAAGTTAGTTATCATCCCTGAAAAGAGTTCTCACAAAGGCCATTGAGATTTGCAAACATGGAAATTGTTACTGTATTCATAAATTTAGAAGACTAAAGTATTTATAGAGTTCTATTTGTAGAATTGGTGAGACTATCAAACAGATGTTGCACATTTCAAAATTGAGCCAACAAGGGAACTTGTGAAACACGAACCACAAAGCATTTGGGAAGGCATTTTTTACTGCCATTTAAGCTTTTGAAAAAAGCCATCACAAAGAATATATAAATTGTGAGGCCTGCCTCTAAACATCCTTTACAAAGACACATGAACTTGGATTAAGTAAAATCTTCAAGGCACAACAAAAATGTGTTAATGGTAATTCTTTCAATCTGGAATTGTAGGTATGCAATAAATATTTCAAATATATAACATACAGTTTTTAAGTTATTATAGATGTAGTTATGATCTTATTTTTATCTTCTTGTTAAAAAAGCTTAAAATTTGAATGAATTATTGCTAAATTAGGTAATGTCATATACTTTCACGTGAAAGGAAATGATACTCACTTTTAATTCAAACATGAATTTCATGTTTTTCACTATTAAAAGCACCTAGATCTAAATGATATTAAGAACCATAAAAGTTCAACCTTAATTTAATTTTATTGCTATAAAAACTGCATCTTGCTATTTATTAAACTACCCATGGTTTCTTTATTCAGTAACACATTATCTCCACACTAAACTTTTCTCTCAGATTTAAACTTCTAGCAAAATCAGTTCGTATACAACTTTTAGGATGTGTCTAAGAGTTCCCTGAAGGATAACAGTACACCCACACAGTACTGTATCAAATAATCAAATGCCTGTTCCTAATGCCCTCAATCTCCTAGACAGCAACTTAGAGCTATGTTTTATCTAAACATATTATTTTAGCTAACTTCTAGGCATATCTTAGCAACTTTCATTTAAGCATGTCCAAAAGAGATGCTTTTAAGTATTAAGAATATGCTGAAAATATTTGTGTAATACATATACAAAGATTAATAAATAGGTATTTTATTTTGTGGTTTTATATTTCAAGTTCAAACACTACAAACACAAGACGATACTATGGTAATACAGTGGTCTTTAAGTTTGGGGGTTCAAATATATATTTTGAGTCAAATAAAGATATAATTTGATGCTAGTTAGTCAGCATTATACAAAAAATGTAGTATCTTCAAAACTAGAAACAAATTTTCTTGACTTTTTATAATTGAGTCCTTGTATACTAAGACTCTAAAAGTAAATAAATTACTTTCTTTGCAAATTTTCCACTCATCCAAGGACATAAATTACCTTATTAAAATTTAAAACCAGGACAGAATGTTGCTGGATAGAAAAAGAAGAGCATTTTTGGAGAGAAGAACATTTTGGTCAAAAGGCACAAGGCCCAGTTTAGATTCTACTTCTGACTTTGTCTGTGGCTTTGGCCCTCATTTCTTCCCCCGTGTAAAATGAAGTTGGAAAAGTTATAATTTCTGAGTGTAAACATTCAAGGACATTATTGTAATGTTTTAGATTTCCCTCAGTAATTTATTAAAACCATTTGTTCCATTATATTTGGTACCCAACTATAATTATACATGTTTTTCCGATTGTTTCATCTAGTTAAGAGAAAGGAAAAAAAACCCCAAACCCCTCTAAACCACTCATCAGAAAAAGGTGATGTACTTATATGAAGAAAGCTGTTTAAAAACAGAATCAAGTAAGATAAATAGCAAACATTTGTATTTATTTCTAGTATTTCTCCTACCTCTTTGCAGTGGGAAAATAGCGAGAGCATGAAGAGCCATCCCAGGCACAGTAAGGGTCTCGGGCGAGGCAGCACTCTGCACAGGCTTTCCCATAAATATCACAGCGGTGTAACGGGAGCTGAGCGACCCCCGTGGTGGAACCGATATATAGTTGTTGCTGTGGAAAGAGTTTACTGTCAGGACAGAACAACCCTGTTTAAAACCTTGTCTCTTAAAAAAGTTTACTTTTTATACTAGTGGGTTTAAAAAAAATCCCATTATTGGCAGTTTGGTCAAAAGTCTGGCAGATCATATGACCATTTAAAAAGACCAAGAGCAAAATCTAAATATTTGACTAAAACAAGTGTATTTTAAAGTATAAAACCCAGGGAAGACAGTAATGGTTATATAACAGTTATAGCTCAATAAAGGTAAAAATTTAAATAAAAGATAGGAAACACTGAGTAATATAATTTTCAAACCTTCAGGTTTTTGTTCTTAGAAAGCTTGCTTTTTTTTTTTTTTTACTTCTCTGCTGTTTGTAATTTTGATTAATCAGCAAATCTACATTGCCATGTATTCTCTTGGTTTTGAGGCACGGATCATTTGCTTTTGACTCATAGGTGCCCTATATCATTGCCTGTGATGTAGTTTGCCCTGCTATAAGAAGGAACAGGGGAAAATTTTGGTGCTTGCATTTGTAAGTTTTGCTCAACATCAACTATCTTGTCCTTGTGCTACCTCCAGGAAGCTTAACTTTAAACAAAACTACTAAATTGTTTTTCATTCAAAAGATCATCAAATGGGGAGTCAAGTACACTCTGGCTGGCGCAGTAGACTTGAACACAAAGCTTGGCTATTGTTGAGAAAGTGCTGTGTTGACCATTAAGGTGCCTGGATTCTAGATCCTACCCTATATTAATTCTCTGTGTCATCTTGAGCCATTCCCCTAATTTTTCTAAGACTTTACTTCCTTACTCACAAAATAAGTGTTTAACTAGGTCTTGAAAGTATGCATTCAGATAAAATATTCAATAATGCCATAATGCTCAATGAATTTGCAATTACCAAATGAGGCAGAGTGTGGGGGAAAAACTTTGTGGCAGCAACTAATCCAGGATTTCAGTACAGTTTTAAAAATGCCTTTTACATAGTTTAGCCAATGTAGCATTTGAGCAATGTTGCAAATACATTCAAATACAGGATAAAATACAAATAAAACTGTTTTGTGATTTCTCCACACTTTGCTGTAATTAGTGTCATAGCTCCCTTTTCTGGCACTAAAGGACTGACTGACTATAGTAAACCTTAAATGAAAGTTGTATAAATACTGAATCATGTAACAGTACACATGGAAAAGACCTCAAAAGTGTATTTTAATTTTCCTACTACATAAATGAAAAAGAAGTTATAGAAAAGCTAGTCTTTGAAACATGGTGTGCTCTTTTAATATTACAAATTGCTTGACAGCAATGGATATAATTAAAATTACATTTACAAATAACTTTCAAAGATAAGCTACATATATAAACAAACATAAATTGAATGAAGATTGATATATCTATTAGAATCTATGAAATTAATGAGGTTATAAAAAGTGCTTATACAGATAATTCTGTGCTTAAAGCTAATCAGCTAACATATAAAAGAAAGGGAAATAAGGGAGAAAACATAATACAATAAAAACTAAACCACTGTTAAAACAGTTACCCTGATAACTGTTACTCTGATACATATTGCTTGTTCCATTTCAGTAGTGAAGACTACTTGTATCAATATTCTAGTATAGCAGTATGTAGAACATATTCTATGGATGCTCAACCTCTTAATATATTCATCTTTTATTATGAGCCAAAAGATCCTACAAACCATGCAAATTAAAAAGCAGTAGTTGAAGTCCTTGAGAGGAAGAAATGAGTATTGTTAATAAGCTTTTTGTTGAGAGAAAATTAGGTTGATTTGTACTTCTCTTGAAGGATCCACAGAACCAGAATGTGATAACAGTCGACCATGATTTGAAAAATATTAATGAAGAACTTAACTAATGGAAGGAACTTCCCCCCATCCTCTCTTCCAAAATCATCTTATTAAAAAAAAAAAAAAGAAAAAGCTTAGATTATATTGAAAGCAGGCAATCACAGTGCAATAAAAAATGAAATAAATTTGACATCTTTTTAAAATTTTTATTTATTTATTTATTTTTCAGAGAGAGAGAGAGGGAGAGCACAAGTTGGGGGGGTGAGGGGCAGAGGGAGAAGCAGAGTCCCCACTGAGCAGGGAGCCCGATGTGGGACTTGATCCCAGGACCCCAGGATCATGACCTGAGCTGAAGGCAGACGCTTAACTGACTGAACCACCTAGGTGCCCAACATGTGATGCTTAAACAAATTAGTTAAAGTGGGGTAGCCATATCCACAATCATGGTTGGCATTGGTGAATATGGACTTGTGGAACCCTGTATTGTGGTCAGAACTATTTAAAAAGCTACTGATCAAGTTGGTCATACCAAATCAAAGGATCTCTAGGATTGGCCAGCAACTTAAGAAGCATAAGCAAAATTCACACTTACAAATTTTTAAGAATATGACGTTTGAGTTGGGAAGGACTTATTATCTAAATAGTAGTATCTAAATCTATCATATCCCTTTAGGAGAAAACCAGGGAAATAAACATGGGAATTAAAAACCAAAAATAGGCAACCAAAATTACTGCCACAAAAACTTAAAGTGTGATAAAATGCCCGAAATTAAATACAACTCAAGTCTAGTTTTCGTTTTACAATTATTCTGCAGTACTATTAAAGAATTGCAAAACTAATTATGCTATCTAAATGAAATATAGGGGAGGCTTGCAGGCACCATTGAGCATAATCCAGTCCCTAGCAAGTAACCTGATGTGCTTTTTCTGCCCAATTTAACATCACCACAGGCTTTCTTACTATCCTCCTTAACAAGTTTCGGGTCATAAGCAGGCGATGAGTCCATTTATCCAGAAAATTAGTTGCAACACTGCTTGTCCCTCTTGAAACTACTGCCTCACTTTTAAAATTTCCATGAGCATTAGTAAAACTGATTCAGATCTGAATGAAATCAAACTTCTAGTAATAGAAAACAAAGACTAGGAATACTTTCTTGTGTCATGGTATTTTAAATTGATGAACTGTTTTTGGTATTTTGGGTATTTTTTTTTTTTTTGGTGAAATGTGTTGCATTTAACAGGCAATTCTTAAAGTACTTAAAAATATTTAAACAAAAAGAAATATTTTATAAAACTCTAAGTAACGTAATTAAGATTGGCAATGAAACCAAGCAGAGAATAAATAAATAATTTAAAAAATCATTAAAGGAAAGAATATCCCAGTCTATCTTCCATTCTGGAAATCCCCTGATTTCCTTGCCAACATTTGACAATTTTTAGATTACAAGAACAGGTGAACACATACTTCTGAAGTGTAAGATAACCGTATGAGGGTCAATAATATCTGCACTCTGACTTTCTCTAAATATCTTGGAGATTATCAATCTATTTTGATATGTAAGTGTGGAAAGGATATACACTGAGTTTTACTGGCACAGTATTTTAGTGTCTTGTACAAGGGCTAATGCATGGTCAGAGATAAAACATGTAAACAATTCAGGAATAAGATTAGCCAAATGATTTTCATATTTAGCAATTTTATATATAAGTTTTTGGAACAGTCAGTGAAGGGCTTCCTACTCCATTCTGGCTTTTTCTGCTAGGTTATTTAATACTTAATTTCAACTCAGTTTTTATTTATTTATTTTTTTCAGTTTCCACTGATACGCTGGATAGAAAGGCTATGTAACATTTATGGGGAAAAGATAATTTATTAGAAGTTAAAATTATATTTGTTTTGTACATATAATTTAACATTTAGGAGTCATTTGTGTTTCTTAAGTGTCTTGCCAAAGCATTCATTCAATGTGAATGCAAAGACTATTAACATGCTGCCCTTAACGTTTGAATTCATGGAGTTTAATAATTTATCATTTGGCAGTGACTGTTTTGCTGTTTTCCTTTAATATGTAGCCAAGCTAAATGTTTTCTCTAGTACACAATACTACTGAAAAAGTAAAATTAACTTTTGAGTCAAGATCCTCCAAACATATACAGCCCAGTGCATAATTTTATTAGCTTATAAAATATATGCTGTTTATTCATGCAAATTAAATTAAATGATAAACTTATTTATATTCTCAAATATCCACCAATGCTATTTTTAAGGACAGATGAAAATAATTACCGAGCAAAATATTACAGTGACCCAAAAAAAGAAACGCTATAAATGAAAATTTACAACCAACAATGATCTCAGAAATATATTTACAGGAATGTAAGATTGGTCAAAAACACGGGGCAATGAAAAGGATCTTTAATTTTCATTTTACTACCTTACAGTAAGAATGTTCTTTCTTTTCTCTTTCTTTTTGGGAACTACTGTTAATAAATCTGTAAAACTTGATGAATCACAGATATGTTTATCTAATTGAAACACAAAATTAACAAAATATAGAATATTGACTGTAATACATAATGATAGTACCTGCTTGGTGGAAAGCTCCATTGCTGAAATAGTAGTTGGCTCCTAAAGAAGAAAAAGAAAATGTGAACTGTTTGGTCAATTAGAAAAGTCAGTCATTAATATTAATTAACACAGAACACCAACATAAGCTTTCAGAGAGTTAACTTCAGTGTCTACAAGAAGCAATATAATTGGGAAATAAGATACATGACGGAAGCTGCATACATGAGTATTAAATATGTGGAACAGACAATAGGAGGATATTAACGTCTTCCAGTCAAAGACATACATATTTGTAGTTGATCAAGTTGGGTTATTGCTCATTGCAGTTAAGGGAGACTATGGGACTGCCCAGCAAAAGAGTCTTGGAAAGAACACATATGTTTTGGGCCTATGTTAGTTGATTTGAGGGAGGGTCCAAGGAAGTGGTGTTTGCTCTGCATGGGATGTCGAAGAAAGCAGAGGTAATTCTATGATTAGGTCTCTTTATACATCTTATTTAGGAGGAGGGAAGAGCAGAAGAGCCTAAAGCAATATTTGGTAAAGAAGGAACCATTACTCATATAGGCAGGATAGGGGGATATTGGTCATTTTTTTGGTGGTTTGGACAATGTTTATGGTCTTGTCTGTTTTCAGACAGGATTATAGAATGCTCTTGCTTTTTTCTTGATTCATCATGGTCACAGAGTAGCCTTATCTGATGCTGGTGTTCTGTGAGAATTTGTACGCTCCAGTGGAGAACACTGGCCTATGAGTGCCAGGCCAGCTCCTAATAACACCAGTGACAAGTCGATAGTATTAGGCTAGTTTCCACCTGTGAAGGACTGAGAGCTCAGGGTAGGATGAGATCACTTTATTATTATCAAAATGACTGTTTAATGTGCAAAGGTCTACACTACACATTTTTGCCAGAGGCAGAGTTCATGGTCTCTTCAATTTCTATCAACAGGCTATCTAGAGATAGTAACTAGGGAAGTAATAACCACCAATATATTTTGATGAGTGTTCTGCTGAAGCCTATCATGAGCACATATAGTTTGAATAAATAAATAACATTCTTTGATTAACTTAGACCACCAAAAGGCTATTCACCTGAACACATTAGCTTATATTCTCTCGGATTTACTTTCACTGAACTCTGCTCCTTGTATCTTTCATCAGAGACATACTAAGTATTAAGAAGGAGACTGCTTGAGAGTTTCAGTGATGGCTGATGAGAAAGAGGCTTAGGTGGGAAGAATAATCTTAAAAGGCCTCACTGTGTAGGTGACTAAAGCTGAGCCCTGAACCAAGTGTGAAGAGTTGGATTCTGAAGCCAAACTGCATAGATTCAAATGTAAACCTGGACACAAGTGTGATAGTAGGTGAGGTATGTAACGTCTCTGAAATTCAGTTTTCTTATCTGAAAAATGAGTATGATGGCATCTTCCCTGTAGGATTGATGAAAAGATTAAATGAGTTCATAAAGGCAAAGTACTTTACAAATGTGCTTGGCATGTAGTGTTTACTCAAATCTTTGTCTCTCTTTGTCTCCTTCTCTCTCTTTTACACACACACAACCCCCATATCTTTTACTTGCTTTAGTTTTTCTCTCTAGTGCTTATCACTATCTGGAAATATACACATACATATTGCATTAATGGATATATATGATATATATAACATATATGTGATATAAATATAACATTTATTTTGTGTCTTGTGAGTTTCCCCTTATACCCCAAAGCAGTGTCTGAAGTAAGTTCTTATCTGCAGGTAGGGAGCACGAGTGAGGAATGAAGCATTGAAAGGAAGGAGAAACAGTCAAAAAAAGATGTGTTATGAAGTCACCACTGAGAGAAAATCTGAACACAGTAGACAGTGACTCTCAAAATTGTCCACTGAAGTTTGTACCAAGAAAAGTATTTATTCATTCCATTACTCACTGGATGCCCACAGGAGCGTTAAATCTCCCACACCTCCAGCTGGGACTCCTGCCCTTTTGCCTGCTGTCAGAGAAGGCCTGGGGCACAGAGTGAGGCTGTGTCGGATGGAGGTAAGGCTGACAGGATGTACGGAGGGGCAGCAAAGGCATCTCATATTTTTTTCTTTCTTGTTTGTCCCCATAAGTCACCCCCTCCCCCCCCCAACACACACCCTCTAATTTAGAAAAGGGATGTTTGGCTGTTTCAGTCACTGCTATATTCCTAGCACCTGGGATTATTTCTGGTATTTATAAGTTCTCAATAAAATCTGTTAAATGAGTGAGTGAATGAAAGATGAATGAATGCTCTACCAATGTCTCCTTTTCTTTCCTATCTCTTCCACTTTCCTCATTGAATTCTGTTCCTTCCAATTAATTTGTCTGAGATACAGGCAGCCATCTTTTAAAAAGGTCTTTCCTTAATCTTTTCAGTTCAGCTGAAGTTCCTTTGAAAATAATCTAAGGATTCTATACTCACTGTCTTTACTTGTTCATGTCCCATTCAGTGCCATTCATTCCTCAGCCCACTGAGGCTAGCCCCTCCTCTGGAGAGGTTGCCTGTGAATCTCAGAAGCAGAAATCACTAGCGAACTGTTCATTGGTGAATGAACACTTTCAGTCTATACTATTATTACTGGACTTCTTTGTTTTATATGGTATGACTGACTACTCATGTCTTTTGACTGCTTCCTCTCTATTAAATTTCATTATGCCTCAGAACTCTTTTTCTTTAAGATTTTATTTATTTGTTAGAGAGAGAGAGAGAGCTCACAAGCAGGGGGAGCGGCAGGTAGAGGGAGAGGGAGAAGCAGGCTCCCTGCTGAGCAAGCAGCCCCATGTGGGGCTGGATCCCAGGACCCTGGGATCATGACCTGAGCCGAAGGCAGACGCTCAATCGACTGAGCCACCCAGGTGCCCCTGATTTCAACAGTCTTAAACTTAGATCCTAGAATTTCTTAATTAAAAGAAAATTATTTATTTTTTGGACCAGGAAATTAGTAACAGTTTGGAATAGGCTGTGCTATTTGCTGCCTGCCGTTGAATTTTAATAGACAATATATTAAGATGACATCCATTTAAATAAGCTATATTTTTTTCCGAGAAATAGCTGGTGGTGAATATGACTTCCATTTAAAACAGATGTAGCTTCATAAGCATTTTTTCATGAAACTGGTTTCAATTGCAAAGTTAATTGGTGTTCGAGTAAAAAATGAAATTAAAAACTTAGCATCTTTTCAAGATTTTCTATGACTCTAATTTACCGTATTTTTTTCCAGATATTTTAATCCAGTCCTTATTAAACTTTCGTGCTTGCAGAGCTTTTCAACCTGCTGATCCCAGGAGAATGTGACATAACTCCCTGGATGCTAAGCACGTGGACACTCCTTTAGAACGAGTTAATAGGCTAGGTTTTGGAAAGCATCAATTATGTTTTACATTTGAATGAAAATTAAACTCTTTCATTTGTTAGCTCAGCTGTTCATGGAATATTGCATAAATTGAGTTTAAAATGCATGCGTTATCAATGTAACTGCCTTGCAATCCTTTGCAGTCAATAGGACTATAAATAAAACCCATGGTACTTAATGCACGGCAACTTGATATAACACTCCACTGTCTCAAAAGTAAAATCTTCCTTGGACTGGAAAGAAGATCCCACAGTAAGGTAGTAATACCTTACTACTAATATTAATTTACTAGTAAAATTAATTTATAAAAAGCTTTAAAAATTTAAGAAATTAAGAAACTGAGGCTCAGTTGACTTTAACCAAGTGTTCAGAATCACTAGTAAATATGATCCAAATACAGATTTATGATTACAAGTAATACTTGGAATTAGGTCTGTGTCTTAGTACTTCAATACCATTTCAGTACCATTTTGAATATTTAATGGCAATTTAAAATCATTTCCTATACCAATGCCAATTTTATTTCACCTCTTATTACCTATTAAAATTTTATTCTAAAATGGAAATTTTTTTTTTACCGAGGAATATTTTTCTTTCTATACTCTGAGTGGGATTTGATTTCACCCAGAATAAAAAAAGTCTCTTGGATGTAACTGAAACCACTGGAATGTTCTGTGATTAGCCAGGGTGTTTTCCTAAAACCAACCTCAAGATGGCAATGGACATAGTACTGGCTTTAATTCAGGCTTTTATATGAAGTTTGGTTATTCAGCCTAGCAAGGACACATAATGAACATGGTCTCCTGGAGATGATATTTCGGTAAAATTAACATGTTGGTTGACATTAAACTCCAAGAGTATCAGATACTACTATGACTCTAAATCTGTTCCTTGTCTATTTACTTTGTCAAAATATTGTTACACTCAGGTTAACACTTTTTAATTTTATTTTATGTTAAATGGAATGACATGCAAGGCTTAAATAGAAATATAGAAACTGTAACATTTCTCTGCTTGTTTCACTGTATATAGCAATTGCTTTAATGTGTTGTGTTTTTTTCCCCTCCCACTACAAAATTAAACAAAGTTTGACAGTGAAATATTCCAATTGCTAGACCACAATATATGTATGAACTCTGCCTGATAGAATAGAATGTTAAAAGTAAATATTTCTCTAAACTCTGCCCAAATATGTTTTGTCTACTTGAGTGCCAAAGAAATAATAATGACAATAATGCATAGCAGAGAATATGGGAGAGAACTAGAACATTTATCTATGGAATGAGATGTGTCCCAGGTTGCAAACAGTCTTTCTACAAAAGTGTAAATTCACAAAAAAATCACTTCTCTACCGGCATAATATTACGTGTTTATATTTAATTGTTAGAGAATGATCAATAACCTTTCTCATGATATCTTAAAAACCACAAAAAATGTCATTCCAATAGTTGTCACAGGCTTAATTCAGCTGTGTATTTCTCTGGAAACCGCAAAATATTAACAAAATCTAATAGATATTATATATTTCGCTTGCGAGATTGTTGGCTCTCAACCTCTAAAGATTTTGTTAAGTCATTTAATAGATTAATAGCTTAAATTTATCTCTTTTTAAACTAGAATTTTTATTAATGTACTAAAGAACATAGATAAGGTGTGAAATACAAACTTAAAATCCTAGAGACACAGGGAATTAAATATACAAAAACTGAAGGGAAATACACAACGGGAACATGACAAATATAAGAGTAAGAGAGTCTGGAAATAATTAAGACATTTTTAGGTTAACATAATATTTCAATATCTCCTGTAACTTCACTTGCAACAGTGGTAGCAATATAAATTTCTAAACAGATAGAGTTGGTAATTTTTTTTTCTTTCCACTAGAGATTACTGTGGGATATAATCAGCAGAATAATTTGTTGCTGTTCCCAGTTTGTTTTCCACATATTCTGGTACCTCACTTGAGGTATGGCCTCCCTGAGGAAGACCATAAACTCTTTAATTTCTCATATTTCATTTGTTCATCAATACTGATATCTTCACTCATTTAATAGATGTTGGTTGAAAACATTTTAGGCTCTGGAGACACAACAATGAACACAAGACACCAATTTACATTTTTACCCCTCAGTCCCCGTGATTTGTTTGCTAAATCTAGATGGACTCTATATTGTTAACAAAGTCCATTTGGATAGTTGTATTTTTGAATTTGTAGGCTAACGTATCAATGTATAAATACTGACATGGGACTTAGTGAACAATAGTGATTAGTTATTACTCTATACTAGACATAAAATTAGGCCAAAGTACATAATTTAAAAAAAACTAGAATAGAATTATGAGGATTTTTATTATTTTGAAGACTTAAACCAAGGATTAACAGAAAACTCCACTGGAAATGTGGTAGTACCTGGCACTGTCCTGGACGTTTTATGTAAGTGTCTCTAATTTTTCTAGCTTCCTTGTGAAGTAGATATTACACTTGCTGTTTCACTGATGGTGAAGCTCAAAGAGACCATATAAGTGTTCCAAAAAGAAATGCTATGTAAATGTGATTGAAGAGCCTCAGCTCTTTCCACCAGAACACTGTTTAGCTGTTATTACAAGATATCTGAATGACCAGTTATCTGTTTCAGTGCTAATCATAATTTTAATCGTGAGTATATATTAGGAGCTTGCCATTTTCTACTTCATTTTTTTCTTCAAAATATTCCTGAATAGTGGGCAAGAACTCAACTGGGTTAAAAAAAAGTGGTCCAGAAATATGGGGCTAAAAAAAGTCTTAGGAAGTCTCTGCTCCCAATTAAAATATTTAATCAACTGAAAAACTTAATCCAGCAGCTTACAGATAAAGTATCTGGAACACCTGGGGACTAAAATGAGATAATTTTGAGTTGTGAGATTAGATCCAATGTTTTCTCATTTTCTGCCTATTCTTCTAATTCCAGTTTATTTTGCTGTTGTAAATGCCTCATACGTTTGCACTATTCTTTTAATAAAAATTGAAGTAACACCTTTTACGGGCATCTATTTCCCTGTCATATCTCATAAATAATTCATATCAAGGTGTGCTTCAATTGGAACTCTTCTATTAGCTGGCTATCTAAAAGAAACAACAGACATTGTGGTATATGTTATATTACTTTGGTTCTCCTCTCTCACTTCAACCCATATCCTGCTGCCTCTACCCCCAGTACTATACAAATTTACCTGGGCCATCTGTGATTCTGGACAAAGGAACAAATATCTATACATTTCTTTTTTTTTTTTATGTTACATTAATCACCATACATTACACATCATTAGTTTTTGATGTAGTGTTCCATGATTCATTGTTTGCATATAACACCCAGTGCTCCATTCAGTACATGCCTTTTTTAATACCCATCACCAGGCTAACCCATCCCCCTCCCCCCGCCCCCGCCCCGCCCAGAACCCTCAGTTTGTTTCTCAGAGCCCAGTCTCTCATGGTTCGCCCCCCCCTCCGATTTCCCACCTTTCATTTTGCCCTTCCTACTATCTTCTTTTTTTAACATATAATGTATCTATACATTTCTTAAGTGTGTAGACTAGGAACACATAACATATTTGGCACTAGTGGTATAAAAACCTCAATTTTTTTTTGCTAACAAATGATTTAAGTAAATATGATAAAACGTTTAATTCATGAATAAGCTAAAAAATGACTGAAATGTCTTTCATTTCCCTGTCATTCTGAATGATAGTTTTCCTTTAATACATTCATGGAAATTACCTCTCATCCCAGTTATATCATAATGCACGAAAAGAGGAGATTTGGGGGTGGGGAGCAACATGAGTTTATTAATTGAGGTAACTTATATAAATAATATAAAATGTAAATCATATATTTTATTATTGAGAAAACAAAATATGAGCCAAGAATATATTTCTTTACATTTTTAGATTTAACTAGCATTGAAAGTTTCAAGGTTTATTTTGACTAGTGTCTGGCTTTCTAATTGACAAGCTAATTAGAAGGGTATGCTAGACTCCTTGTCCATACCAAGTTCAGTGCACAGCTGTCCTGGGGGAAAGACATACAAGTGAACTTGTTGACACTTGAAATTAAGCAGCACTCACCCGAAAAACTGTCATTTCTTCCAGTAGAACTTCTTCTAAATCATGCCAAGTCTCCTTAGGAATTGAAACTACTTTAAGAACGGTCCCAACATCTTTGAAAGAAAGTGGAGGGGGAGAACACAATTTAAACAGGTCTGAACAAAGGATAGTGTTAATGAATGGAATCAGTATCTGACCAGAAAGAACATTTGACCTCAGTCTTCCTTTTACTTTTTTGTTATAGCAGTAGTAAAATATATATTCAAATGCATTTCATGCAAGTAGATAAACTATGAACATAGCTGTGGAATAAAAACAATCGAGTTTTTAGAAATATATGAAGCTTGGAAGATGGCTCTATCCTGAACTTGCAAAATTAAAAATATATATATACTAATCACTAGGTTGAATTATTGTGTTTAACAATTTTTTTAATCTCCATTGTCAGATATCTCAGGAAAAAAAAAACCTAAAAAAAAAAGATAATACCAGTTTGATATGACAGGTTTTTCCACTTTTGCTGTGAAATCAGGGACTGCATGTGGAGACTTAATGCAGATGCAAAATGCAAGGAATGTTGTCAAGCAACACAAGTAGTCGGAGCTTCCGAGGCTTGCTGCTTATCCTCCTGTGCCTGGAAGCCTTTAGTACTTATAGGCCCTTAAAGACAGCTCAATGACCATTAAGTGATGAATGACAATAACTTGATTTCCCAAAATAAACACCTTGGATTACTTGTCCTGTGGTTTTTCAATAATGGTTAAGCAGGTTTGGTTAACAAATTGGTTTGATTAAATGTCTTGAATAATCAATTTTAGAGTACTAAAGAAATTTAAAATTCAGGAGCATAAATCATAAATTGGATACATTGTATAGAGATTTAAAGCACTGTTTATCCTAATTCTCACTGTGAAAAGAGAGAAAATGTTTTAAGGAAAAGAGCTGTTGCTTTTACTCTAAATTGTTTTAAGAGGACACTATTTTGCCAGTATTTACAGGCATGTTCCTATTCCTTGACAGAATGAAGAATGGGATCTTATTAAAATAAAAAAAAAAAATGGACTCTTCAACATTTCAACATTCCAGTTCTGACCAGCTGATCAATTATTTTTAGCTTCAACTGGCTCATTTCAATCCAGTTCAACTGACTCATTATTTGAAAAGAAAATCAAACATCAGAAAAATAATTTAATGTATTCATTGAATAACCACTAATAACCATTTTCAGGGCATCAATATGATGTGCCTTGGGAGATCAAGAAAAGTTGCTAGTGAAAAAAAGAAAGAAAATTTGCTAGTGTGTCCTTTGTAAAGTGGAAAAAAAAAAAACACCCTCTGTTAAGAGGTTACTTCTATGTTTATAGGACTTTAGACTACTCATGACACCAAAGATTAAAGGTAAATTAGGTTAATCTACTCAGTGCCTCTGATGGGTTTCCAGTATCCAAACATAACTTTATCTGTGTTCCAGATCTAGTTTTACCGAGTAGTATTTCAAACAATTTCACACAAATTGAATCAGATTACTCAACTAGGATCAATGTACTATGATGTGCAATTCAGTTAAAAGATAAAATTACTGTAATCAATTTACTTTGCTGACAGATGACCCTGGTCTGTACTGACCGATAGCCATCCACATCTTCAGACATTCAACATACTCATGAAACTGGTTCCTTTAAGGACAGCTTGTGTCCAAGAGGAATTAAAAGCTCATGACTGGATTTCTTTGGTCAAAGAGCCGAATGCAAGCCTCTGTTGCACAACGAGTGAGGGACTTCTCAACATGTTTAGGCCAGAGGTGAAAAAAAAAGGTAAGTGTGACATTACTGAATAAACTTAATTACTCTGTAGATAGATCTAATTATATTTTGACATTAATTGAATACAAATCCTATCATCTCGTAATTTCTGAAGATTTATATAACCAGAGGTTGATACTTACGATTCATTAATTTTTATCAAACTCTGAGTCTCAATGGGACTCTTTTATTTGATAACTTTTCTCACTCAGAAAAGTAGACTGCACCGTATTGCTCAGACTCTGACATTGTTACACCTGATAACAAGTATTTCACAATTTCCTTATAAAACTTTAAATCTTTAAAGCACTTACCACACAACTGCCATTCCCCTGTAGTTAATTCAGCTTTATTCTGTTTCTCACCAAGGGAAAATACATGCTCTTATACCAGGTTTCAGCAGAGCAGTCACTTTGCTTCTCATTGATTTATGTCAGTTAACAATGCTAATGGAGACTAGGAATTTATTGCCTAGGAATCTGACCCTAACTAGCAAGTTTCAGTTTCGTAACTGGTGCTTTCAAAATAGTATTAACGAAGAGAGTAGGGGGAGAATATATCATAATAGCAATGGGATTCATTCTGAAAATATACCTGTAAAAAGTTTGTTGGTAATCATGGAGTTAGTAAAAATGTGTTGTTAAATTTCTATAGAAATGGAACTAAAATGTATCTGATGGTTCTTTAGGTCCATTTTGTTGTTCCTCTGATGAAGTTTTTATTTTGTTTAGTTTTCTTTCATTGTATGGCAAAAACACTAGCCAAAATTTATTTGCTAGAAGATTTGCATCCTGTGATAATTTCAAAGTTCAGATAATTCTGCATCAATACAGTCCAGAAACATTATTGAATGTCTTGGGAATTTTACCATGGTATGAGCAATACATCTTTGTTCTAAAAAGCCAATGGCTAGAAAAGAGTTATGATTCAATCATAGACACTGATTGTTTACCTAATCATTAGCTTTACCTGACTGCATTTATGAACTTTTGATTGAAAAGGAGATTTGGCTCAAATCATTATACATCAGCTTGTTACTTTTTTTAGTAACACACTGTCATGGTAGATGTTCAGGTTTTTTAGTCGTTTATTAGAGGTTAACTATATCTTGACAGTGACTATAAAAACTTCCTTCAGTTCTTAGCACACTCAGTCAAACAATGTTCTGAAAGGAAATTTAGAGCCAAAATTAAAACATTTACCTGTTCCAATAAACATAACATCATATTGGCCATCTTCTGCATCCACTCGATCTACTACAATTTGTGTAAATTGATAATTTACATCTGTTTTGATCATTATCGGGCGGTTATTAATAGGAAACACCGGATTGTACATAGCTGGATGACTCCTTGCAAATGTTATAACATCATCAGGAAGGTCTTTTGTAGAGTCAAATCCACCAAATGTTTTACTGGGACACTATTAAGATAAAGAGAATATCTTTTGATTAAAATACAGTAAATAGAATTATAAATTATGTAATAATTTATGACCTCAATGGTCATAAACTAAATCTAAACCTGTCATTATTTCTTTAAAATTAAGTAACTGATAAACTAAAACATAATGTTATTAATATTATTAGATATAATATATAGCATACATTTCCTAAACATCTCTTAAGTCTCAATAGGATTTAGTTATGTCACCATTTCTGACCAAAAACTACAAACCCATCTAATGAATTCAGTGTACAGGAGTCTAATGCCTCTGCTAGTGGCAACACAATATATTTTACCAATATGGTTAAGTATTTGAAATAAGAAATGGAATATGTTACAACTAAATCCAATTAATACTCATATTAGAGAATCTCAGAATAATTTTCTTGGATACATTTTTTTCCCCCTATGGCATCATGCTAAAATACAAATGCTCTTGTCAAACTAAAAGACAATATGAACTATTCTTTATTGCTTTGTTTCTAACATAACCCTGAAAAAGCACCACTAAAAGTACCAACAGTACTACCTCATTTATAATTAATTTTAAAGAAATGTGTTATTACTAGTGTTTAACAATCTGCATGGCCCTGAGACTGGCCAATCAGAGTGGACCCAGATGAAGAGATGGTGGCTACAGAGAAGCGGAAAGGATGCACTGTGCTACACTGGCATAATGTCACCTCTTGATATAAACACTCCCCATAAGGCAATAAAACAAAAATGAGAAAATTCAGATTTCACTGTCTCTTTTCACTGCATTTAATTATGTGGTGCAAGCACTGAAAGTATATCCCCAGTCTCCTGCATTTTGTCTTAAACCTATGTAACTTTCTGCCATTTAATGTAACAGCTTGGGAACTGAACTGTAATTAAGAGTTCTTGGTCTTACATGAGACTTAGGATGCGGAATCAATCGTCTTTGCAGTTACCTTGATACAGGTCATTAATAATTCATGGGAAATGAAATAAATAAACTTGTTTTGAAATGGGAAGAGTATCTATCTCTGAATATATATGTATGTTGTATAAAGAAAGAGACACATACAATAATAATACACTAATCCAACAGTTAAAGGATTTAAGGAATTTTTAAGCAAATTATAAAATTACTTATTTAATGTAATATGTTTCACTTAGTATGTTTTTCTCCACTAGTGTTGACAAAATGACTATTCTCAGATGCTACTTTTTTGAATTAATGAACTCGTTCAAGTGAATTTTATTCATGGAGTTAGGTGTTTTGTCCTTCTGGCAGCCCTTTCCTAATTCCTCGATTAGACATCACTCTCAGCTTCCATCTTTAACAGTTGGTGCATATCGCTGACTTAATTTCCCATGTTTTAACAACTCTCTATGAGTAATGAGCGAGAACACAGGCTCTAGAACCAAACTGCCTGAACTGAATCCTGGTTCCTCTCCTTGCCTCAGAGTCCCCATTTGTGAAAAGGAAACAAGAGCAATAGTTGGGCTACTGAATATAATATATATACAAATATAAATCTCTTAGAATAGGGTCTGACACACAATAATTTCTAATGTCTACCATTAACTGCAAACACAAGGTATACATATTCAGATCAAAACCTCTGTATCTCTAATAGCAGTACAATATCCAGCACAGTTAAGGAATTCCACCAAGTTTGAAGTGAAACTACAAAGAGTTATATTGAGAATACGCTCTCATTAATGAGCCATAGAGATACAAACAGCCATAGGGATATAAAACTCATCACCAACAAAGTAAAAGCAGTTTGCCATTAAAATGGAGTAAATACCTTGTGCTTTTTATAAAACCCATCTGACTTCATATAATCAATATTTCTTTTTTTTTTTTAAGGATTTTATTTATTTGACAGAGAGAGGCACAGCAAGAGAGGGAACACAAACAGGGGGAGTGGGAGAGGGAGAAGCAGACTCCCCGTGAAGCAGGGAGCCCGATGCGGGCCTCGATCCCAGGACCCTGGGATCATGACCCGAGCTGAAGGCAGACGCTTAACCGACTGAGCCACGCAGGCGCCTCTTTATAGTCAATATTTCATCTTGTTTGTTCATTCTTCTGAAAGCCTCCATAAGGTTTTTTTATCCACAAGAACCATCAGCTAAAAGTAATATTTATGAAATGCAAAATTTTCAAATTGCTCATAAAGAAGTTTATAAATAGAGAAAAACAAGATTAAAAGCCTCATATTTAATAAAATACATAAAACATAAATTCCTTGAATTTAACGGAACAAAAAACTGAGGTAAAATTAAAGTAATGGCTAAAGTTCAAATACAAATTTTTTCATCACATGAAGTTATTTCCTTGGAGATTCTTGAACAACATTTTTTTTTTTTTAAAATTTTATTTACTTATTTGACAGAGACACAGTGAGAGAGGGAACACAAGCAGGGGGAGATGGGAGAGGGAGAAGCAGGCTTCCTGCGGAGCAGAGAGCCCGATGCGGGGCTCGATCCCAGGACCCTGGGATCATGACCTGAGCTGAAGGCAGACGCTTAACGACTGAGCCCCCCAGGCACCCCTTTCCTTGGAGATTCTTAGGATTAGAAATACTGCACTTAAGCGGATGTTCAGTCCAATTATGCTATGGCCTCTGCCATCATTGATAACTTCACTCATATTCTGCCATATTCAAGTCTTTGTTTTTGTTTTTTTTTCTTTCTTTTTTTCTCCCTACTTTAAATTGCAGATTCAAAGCTGGTTTTATTTTGAGTTCTCTCCTTTTTTTTTTTTTAAGCCTGAATGTGCCCCAAGGTTGCTGGAGGGAGAAAAGAGAGGTCAGCAAGAGTAGACAGTGTCTGTTAAAATACCCAGGCCCTGCTCTCTCTCTGAGATTTTCTCGCATATCTTCTTTACCTACTTGAGAGATGTGTCCCATTCCCATGGGAAAATAATACCGATTTAAAACTTTTCTTCCTCCTATTTAATGGGCAATCCTTGAAGCCTTCATTATAACTAGGAAGAACAAGTTCCAATTATCCTGTTTCAACTCTCCACGAAGGCCATTTTCAGAAAAGAAAATAAATAAGGCTACCCCTTCAGTTTCTACTTCTCAAAAATTATGGTTATTAATAACTGGTAAGCACTGAACTTAACCACTGATGTCTGTAAAAAACATGTTTTTAAATGTAGAATTCCACAATATCATAAAAAACCCTTACTTTGCCATCGTTTACAGTCTTGGCACCTTTGTTTTACATTATCTATGTTAATACCTGTTTGTAGCTGCTTTTTTTTAACCTTCAGCAGAAATTTATTCCTTTGGTATTTTAAACACCTAGGACATAAATACATAAAAAACAATTTTTAAAAAAAGGCAGGGGTGACCTGGCTGGCTCATTCGGAGGAGCATGCAACTCTTAATCTCGGGGTTGTGAGTTCAAGCCCCACATTCGGTACAGAGATAAAAATAAACAAATTAATATACAAACAAATAAATAAATAATACTTTAAACACCTAGGCCACTTACAGTTCCTGGTCGTGGGTAGGGGACTCTTCCTTGATAAGGCACCCACTGATAGTTGGGGCCATCCCTGTGAGCATATGGACCAAGGAACACCCTTCTCACATCACTCATGCTATACATACACACTGCTGACCCCTTGAAGATGTTGCTAAAAAAGGGAGGCAGAAAAAGAAAAAACAGAAATTCATCCTTATACGGTGGTAAGACAACTGTTTTTAAGTTGTTCTAAGTTCTTAAATATCAGATCTCAATTATCAAAACTTAAACATAAGTTCAATCTCAAAAAATATTTGGGATCTTTTTCAGTCATGTATATCTTTTAACAATACACAAGAGAACAAATTATGATGGCTCAAAAATAGAAGGCATAGAAGAAACCATCATTAGTACTCATAGCACATATATTTATATCATGTATAGACAGTATATGATAGGAAGATACACATTCATATACATAAACTCTGGTGGGAAAGCACATATACACGATCTTCTAAAAAGTAATATTTAATTTTGATATCATACAGAATTAAAAATATAAACTTTGTAATATGTTAAGCCTCAAGCATGATTACTGAAACTTAAGTAAGTAAGAATGTTTAAGAAGTCATTTTATAAGCTGAAACTGGTACAGAAAATGAACAGTTAATGTCAAATGATGTGTCACACTATATTATTTTTAACTCCCAAACCACCAAAAGCGTTACAGCCAGTAACAGAGTCTGATTTGTGTGAAGGCATTTAAAACAATCTCTTCCTAACTCAGAAAACTGTTTTAAGTTAGTAGCTGTTACATCCTACTCAAAGTGGAGCATTATAGCAATTACCCCCATCATTTTACTTGACAAAAATCAGGTACCTGAAACAAACTGGAAGTTTGCCATGAGCTGCCACAATTTTCCATTTTACTGTACTTATATAAATACAGCTTGAGAGATGCACTTATACAAAGATATAAAACAGTTGTGCACACTTACAATATGGAATGCTTATCTTTTAACCAATCTTTCACCACAGAAAATTACATATAAATCGTACTGAATGAAAAACATGTGTGTACAAGAGTTTATGACTGGAAACTTTTCCACACGGACAACGTCTGGTAGAGTACAAGCTGTGTGAGGGAAGAAAGATGCCTGGTTGCTTTCCTGTAACATCAATTACATATTGCATGGTACCTGACACATAGAAAATTTCAGTAAATATTTACAGAATTTACTAATGATATTTTCATAATGGAATAGCAAATCCTTAGGCCCCATCCTATTCCTACTGATTCAGAAACTCTGGGGGCGGGGCATAGCATACTCCCTGGGCAACTCTAATGGATGCTCAGGTGGATGTCTGAGAACCACTGTACTAAGTAATGAGGAAGCAGAAGAAATGGATTAATGTCTGTTTAATTTTAACAACTCCAGGTAATATAAATTTCATACTGAATGTGACAGTCAGGAGATAACTGCTACTTGATTGACAGCAAGAGCCTTGGGAATATGGGTGATGGAGAAAGGAGGAGGGTGAGGAGAGAGGGAAGGAGGAGGGTGAGGGAGGAAGGACAGGAAGAGAACGGAGAGGGGAGGAAGAAGTGTTTCACCTGCAGTTTACAGCTCTACTAACTCCGACCAAAACTCAGATTTCTGCTTTTCAGAACAATCTACATTTCACTCAGATGCTAAAGTCAAAACTATACATAGGACATGACACATTTTTCATCCTATTTATAGTGATGATACTCTCTGCTTAAATTTATTTTTTTAAACAACTATTTAAGTCATAACTTATTTTAACCATCCAAGCATCTACAACTGCTCAGAGGTTAAGCCAACACTGTTCTTTCAAAAATATATTTTCAAAATTATGAATACTTGCAAAGCACCTAAAGGACATGAAGTTTCTATGTTAATAAGACAGTAAAATATTCTTTACCTGGAAGTTGTAAACACTCCATATACAATTGGATTCTTAGGATCTTTAGAATTCATTAGGAATACATCCTCTGTTTGAAAACAAAATTAGGAAAAGTTGCACTTTGGTGGTTATGACAAAGTCTGAACAGATACTCTCTGTACAACATCATCGGCAACTTACGCAATTCATCAAAATGAGTGTCAATGCCATTTGGACCCGGCACAGAGCAAATCAGACGAGCTTTGAGGAATGTTGTCCACTTATTCACCAGACTTCTGTGGCCCCCGAAATCATTCTGAAAGGAGAGAACACTGGTTTTAGGAAATGTGCATGTGAATGAAAATTTCAAATATTTCTCTTATCTTCCTATCTTGAGACAGATATACAATTTCTTTATTTCTCAAAATAAAAGTAATTCTATTATAGATCCAAGTAACTATGTTTTCTTATTATATTGTTGGTCAAAGCTATTCACTCAAACTTATGCAACGAATGACTTGCAACATACAATGAACATACTGGCACATAATACACTTAATGAGTATTTACTGACTAGAAGAATAAATGCATACCTTATGACCCACACTGAAAATAGATCCCAAACAAAAGCATATCAGCACCAAAAGTTTTATAAGTTAAACAGCTGAAAAATTTTGACTTTACAAACAGCACACTGAAAAAGTATTTGCATAAACCTTAATATAGGAAATTCATTTACCTCCTCACTGATAATGAAACAAAATTTTTACTTAATGTAGCAATAAATTCTATTATGATAGTATGCATTTACTGGTAATTTAAAGTCTTTTAAAATAATATTTATGTGCATATGTTTGAAGGAAGATGAGTATTCCTTCAAAAACATAATAATGATTTATATTTTGTTTATATAATTCTATACACTATAAAGTTTTTTTTAACTCCCATAAATAGTGCTTTTAAATATGATTTATATTTTCTTGGAGAACAGATCCTCATATATTTCACATATTTTTATATGTTCCCAGATGACTAAAACTTTTAATTTTCCAGTAACTTAATATACTAGAGATGAATAATTAGATCATGACTACGGAAGGAAAGATGCTAACCAACCCCTCCAATAGAGATTTTCAAAAATTTCCTATTTTCTTGAAAAAAGGAAATTCTACTGAAGACAATTATCAGTTCTGGCTTTGTGATTTTCTTGAGATGAAAGGTGCTTGAATATAATAGCAGTTGGCTTTTTTCATACTGTGTATACATCCTGCACTATACAGTGTAGCAGGAAAGAACGGTACTGCTATCATATCTTCACACTGATACTAATTAATCCATAAACACTTATTGAGCAATTTTTATTCTGTATATCTAACATTATAATTTATATCATATCCAATTTCAGTCACACAGTAAATGAATTACCTGAAAGTTCAGCACTTCACAATTTTATCTGTGTCTGTATCTATGAATATAGGATGTTATAATCAATTTATAAAATCAAGCTTTAATGCTTTACTCTCTTACATTGATGCTTTAGCTATTCAACAACAAATGTCCATTCAAAAGTTAAACTTTTTCCATTGTAGGAAACTGTGCTGCGTCTGAGAATACAAAAAAGTATGTCCGCCTCCGTAACATGAAAAAAAAATTGTATTTCTTCAAAACTTCAAAGCTCGTTTAATGTAAATATGAAATAATGTGTCACAGCCTCTACCTACATGTTTACTCCCGAGCAACTATGTTTCCAATCATTCTTTACCATTAAATATTGATAGTGATCAGTCAAGCTTTTGAGCCACATTTTTCATTGTACTTGCACACGGGTGGAAAGGAAAAAGAGAAAACCGTGACTGGACACCGAAATCCTCCTCAACTGTTGTTTTCTTTACCTCACCTTGCATATCTGACCTATTCTGGCGTGGGTGGCTTTTCCAGTGTGTTCTCCATCTATTGCATTTTCACGGAAGAAAAAATATACTTTGTCATCTTCAGGGTTGTCACTTTCTGGGATGAGGTGGGCACTAATGAACCTTGGATCTGAGAGACAAATGACAGCATATATATTAATTCACAGTTAGATAAATAATTCCATTCATTACAGTCCATTTTCACTTTCTCTTTACTTCCTTTTGACATATTTCAGGAACTAATCTTTCCTTAGTTCACAGTTTTCCGTACATGTGAACTGTTCTTTATGTATTTTAAAGTATGTTACAAATCACCTTAGGTTGAAAAAAAAAATTCTTTAGTTCTTTTTTGGAAAGTTAGGAGTAGGTGCGGAAATCCTCAGTGACCACACGGTGAAAATGCATGACTGGCTATTAAAAGATTGTGCAAACTGAAAGTGCTATCAAATATTGCTTATTGCCATCATCATTGCCATTCTTCCTTCTAAGCATAAAATAGTTTAAATCAAAGTTCAAATTGGTCTGTTCTAGTTTCCAGCAAAGATTGGATGGGAGGGAAGAGAGATCCACATAAAACAATAACAAAAACCAAGTCCTCTCCATTCCAGGAAATGGCAACATTATTTACTAGGTACTCAAGCCACCCTGGTAATCTGGAGCCACCCTTCCGTCCTTCCCGTCTCTCACAACCCACATTCTCTCCATGGGCACATCCTTCACCTTTTCTTACTGCATCTTCTACGACCAGTCTTTCCCAGACTCCTAGCAGTCTCCTTGTTTCTACCTCACCAATCCTTCGCCCAACAGTCAGAAGTGAACCTCCAATATGTCACTTCCCTCTCTAAACCCTCCTACATCTTTCCAAATCACTCACAATAAATAGAAAATAGAAAATCTTTCCTGTGACCAGATCCCATTTATGATCTAGTCCCTGGTACCTCATAAGCCTTTTTTTCTACCTCCCCTTCCTTACCTAACTTACTCCTAGCCAGCCCTACCACTTCCTTCCTGGTTTTCAAACAAGTCGAGTACTCTCAGTTCTGCCTCAGATTTTCCTCCCTGTGTAATTCTCTGCCCTCATACATTATAATGACTGGATTCCTACTTTTACTCAGGTCTTTGTTTAAATATTGCATTTTCAGACAGATCTTTATTAACTACCCTATTTAAAGCACTGAAATCCTTACTTTTGGTTATTAATTTTCATGCATTATTTTTCTTCCTAACATTATTAAACATCTGTGATTTCTTGATCATTCTTTCTCTCTAATCTTGTTTATTGTCTGTCTCTCTCCCCACTCCAATGGAATATAAATTCCAAGAGAACAAGGACTTGGCACGTTTTGTTTGTTGTTATGGTCCTAAAGGTCAAAACACAGTGGTCATTCAGAGAATAGGAGGGAAAGGGAGAGAGGGAAAGAGAGAAAAAAGAAAAACCACAAGATTGGCTAGATTATGCAGAAGGTATAGTAGCAATGTTCAGAGCCTCATTTAAAAAACAAAACTTTGTAAATACCTGGGTTGATGTGGTTGTGATTCATACAAACATATAAAAGTATGTGACAGCTTCACTGGCTTTAAGATGTAATATACTAAGAAGCCGAGTTCATCTCGCTGAAAGCACTTAGGACATTGCAGGTATTTAAATTCTTACAATAATCTACCTTTACTCCCATGGTGTATTAAGTTATTAAGTTAGGAATGAAATATGCACACATAGGTCAGTACCATACCTGAAATACCAGGGAAGGGGTCAGAACCCTGAAACTAGCTTTATCCATGTTATTTAGTCCTAATCTTTACACCTGTGTATAATCATCGTTATCACATGTACTATGCTTGTAACTTTCTCCTAACATTTGCTCTGGGACTATGCCCTTCGGGCTGCACTCCACTATCCTACTCGGGCAAATTATACAGACTCTGTAAGTAATGTAAAACACACGATTTATTACCTATTCATATTTAAAGTTCAGGGTGCCAGTGGCATAGAGTGGGGAAACAACTTAAAAGTTGGACTCACTTTTATAAGATACATAAAATAATACACTACTTTAATCTGAATAATTGTTGCAAAGTTTGTTTTTCTTCATAAACTTCTACTTGTTCATATACATAAATATGTTTGCATATATGTGCTTGTGTCTTACGAGGAATGATGAGCAGATTAATGTGACATGGTAGGAACTGGTATGTTACAAATAAAAGAATTCATACCTCACTGATGAAATTAGGCTCCTAGAAATGCAGCGTTGTGTGTGTGTTTGTGTGTGCACGTATATAACACGAACCATTATATGTCAAAGAATTCAGTTCAGTCACTTGCAACTTTTGTGACCTTTTGGCAAGGCTTTTACCTCTCAGATCTGAGATGACTAATTTTCCCACTGGGTTTATTTTAAACTGAGTTATTTCAAATTGGATTCTATTCATTTTGTCTATCATAAATAGTTCAGATCAAAACAAATATTTTAAACTTAAATAATGCATGTGAAACAACTTTGTAAAATGTTAACAAATGTACTATATTATGTCATTGAAAGGAAGGCTTAATCCCATGCTAAATTTGGAGATCTCATTATACTTCAGCTATAGAATTAGAATAAAAAATCATACATTCTTCTTCTTTAATACTAGAGCAATGAAGGAGAAGTTCGTCTAATATTACCTCCCAAATTAGTGTAGCTGTTCACACTAATACTTGCATAACTTAAAGACTTTCAAGAAATTAAATCCAGCTATTTTATTTTCTCACAAATACACACAAGACACTGTAGAAAAGAAAATGAATAATATATACCCCTTGTTCTCAGAAAGTTATAATCTAGCAAAAGTCGTATTAGAAGCACAAAAATGACAAGAAAGCAAACAATATTTGACATGTACAGATATTCTCTTAGCCTGGTGTCTGGGCATGACAGAATTATCAAACATCATGTTTCCCTCTCTAAAATATGTGAAGAAAATTATCATTTCACAAGTGGGGACTCTAGTGGGAAATAATTCAATCAAGTTATCAAGCACATTCATTGTTGAAAGGGCCTGCGATCATAGTCTCTCCTTCAATATCCGATACTATAGGCATGGAGGATTTCGTAGGTGAATTAAGCTTGACAAAGCTTCAGAAACAGCCAAAACATAAATTATACATAGAAAAAAAGAGAAATTTATTATAATAAAAAAAGAATATCAAAGGAAAACAATGTCAATCTAATGAAATTTGTCTTAAGAACTTGAGGATTTGTTCTCTACTTGGAAAAACATTCATTCCTATTTCAAAATAAAATAGGTCTCTAGTGAATCTCTTTCAAAAATTTAAAAGGGTTCGTTCTACTATTTCAAATTTAGAAAATCTTCTCTAGGGTCAAAAACTCTTCTCACTATACGTTTTCTACCTCTTCAGTCCCTCAAATTTCACCTTCCCCTTCCTTAGTACATTTTGTCCTCTTACCATTCCTCCTAATTTCTCAGTCTATTCCTCTCCTCTCTGGTGAATTCTTATCAATCCAAAACTTCTAATCAATCATTCTAATGGCTTTCTCTGTTATCCTCAAACCTCTCGGCCTCCTGAACCTCTACTGCACCTGCCTTACAAAAACCCAGAACTTTCCCCACTGTGTTCCTATATCTAAGCAAGGATGATGAAAATCATATAATCATAGTAAATGGATGTGCTATTCATTAACTCAGGCTATTTATCCTAAACAAGAATCCTAGTGTTGCTAAGGAATTATTTTATTTACTCTTAGTGGCTTACTAGAGATTTATTAAAAGCAACTCTTTAAAATCATTCTGATTGTCTTCAAATCAACTAATGCACCATCTCTCTCTTTACTCTCCAAAGATGGACTTACTTGCTATACAGATAGAACCAAAACCACTTAATGAGAACTCTCTCTTTTTCCTTTCTTCACCCCGACCCCCAATTTTTCTTTTCTTTCTTTCTGTGGAAAAATGATCTCTCCTCATTTCTAAGTCTAAAGCCTCTCTCTATTTGCTCTCAATCCAATAGAATTGGAGCACAGAATACTGCTCCAATAACAACCTCTATTCTTCACGCAATCGCGCACCATCTATATTTTCACCCATCAAATCTTTCCTGGATGCTTACTCTACGCTCTGGATTGTGGAACATTAGCTGATATTATGATGAAATGTTTTCTGTCTGTAAGGGAATACCAACAACTAAAGTGATTATTAAAATGCACAAAAAGGACAAAAGAAAGAGTTTGAAAAAAATGCAGTTGGAAATAAAAAGGAAAATTTATCTTGCCTTAAAGGAATTAGGAAAAGTTTTTCTCAGAAGATATGACCTGTAACCCAAGACATGAAGAATAACCAAGACCGTCCCAGGTAGAAGGAACACGTGCAAGGTCAGAGAAACCACAATGTTGTGCACACAGAGAGCAGTCAATGAAGAGACAGGTGGTCAAAGATGAGGACAGAAAGTTAAGCAGAGGCCAGAATAAGAAGGAAGTGCTGTTCAGGAGCATATTGTCCTCATGGCTATGAGCGAAACCACTGAAGTATTTTAAACTTAGTAGTAACATTATCAGATTCCTATTTTAAGATCACTGTGACTGCTACAGAAAAAACATATAGCGAGGCAAGAAAGAAGGCATGAAATCACTCTGGAGGCTGGTGAGAAGTGATGGTGATTTGGACCAGAATGACAGAAAAGGTGTCGTACGCAAGGGTTATGTGAAAGCAGAGTCGATGGATTGCGTTCATTGAGGAGATGTTGAATGTAGGGAGTAGTGAGAAAAATCATGGAAATATTAAAGAAATGTCTGATTTAAAAGCTGGTTGGATAGGAATCATTTACCGTGATAGGAACACCCGAGAAAGGATAGATATGAGAGCGGGGAAGGAAGATGAGCTCGGTTTCATGCATCTTTTAAAGTGAGATGCTTGTGAATTTGTCCCACAGGCCAAGGAATACAAAAGTTCAGGAAAGAGGTGGGCACTGGAGTTGAAGTTATTTTAAATTGACAGTAGGCTATAGAGTACAAAAAGAAGACAGAATCTAATGCAACGAGAAAAGTGATGAAAACAGGAAGAAATCTAGCAACTGGGGAGTTGCAAAATGAAGGGAAGAAGTCGATTCTTCTTTGGATGTTCAGTCTTTCC